GCAAGTTTCTTCTACACCATGGTTGGCACAATGCAAGTTTCTTCTACACCTTGGTTGGCACAATGCAAGTTTCTACACCATGTTTGGCACAATGCAAGTTTCTTCTACACCATGGTTGGCACAATGCAAGTTTCTTCTACACCATGGTTGGCACTATGCAAGTTTCTTCTACACCATGGTTGGCACAATGCAAGTTTCTACACCATGGTTGGCACAATGCAAGTTTCTTCTACACCATGGTTGGCACATTGCAAGTTTCTACACCATGGTTGGCACAATGCAAGTCTATACATCATGGTTGGCACAATGCAAGTTTCTTCTACACCATAGTTGGCGCAATGCAAGTTTCTACACCATGGTTGGCACATGCAAGTTTCTTCTACACCATGGTTGGCACAATGCAAGTTTCTTCTACACCATGGTTGGCACAATGCAAGTTTCTTCTACACCTTGGTTGGCACAATGCAAGTTTCTACACCATGTTTGGCACAATGCAAGTTTCTTCTACACCATGGTTGGCACAATGCAAGTTTCTTCTACACCATGGTTGGCACTATGCAAGTTTCTTCTACACCATGGTTGGCACAATGCAAGTTTCTACACCATGGTTGGCACAATGCAAGTTTCTTCTACACCATGGTTGGCACATTGCACGTTTCTACACCATGGTTGGCACAATGCAAGTCTATACATCATGGTTGGCACAATGCAAGTTTCTTCTACACCATAGTTGGCGCAATGCAAGTTTCTACAACATGGTTGGCACAATGCAAGTTTCTTCTACACCATGGTTGGCACAATGCAAGTTTCTTCTACACCATGGTTGGCACATTGCAATTTCTACACCATGGTTGGCAGAATTCACGTTTCTACACAATGGTTGGCACAATGCAAGTTTCTACACCATGGTTGGCAGAATTCAAGTTTCTACACCATGGTTGGCACAATGCAAGTCTATACATCACGGTTGTCACAATGCAAGTTTCTTCTACACCATGGTTGGCGCAATGCAAGTTTCTACACCATGGATGCACAATGCAAGTCTATACATCATGGTTGTCACAATGCAAGTTTCTTCTACACCATGGTTGGCGCAATGCAAGTTTCTACACCATGGTTGGCACAATGCAAGTCTATACATCATGGTTGTCACAATGCAAGTTTCTTCTACACCATGGTTGGCACTATGCAAGTTTCTTCTACACCATGGTTGGCACAATGCAAGTTTCTTCTACTTCATGGTTGGCACAATGCAAGTTTCTTCTACACCATGGTTGGCGCAATGCAAGTTTCTACACCATGGTTATCACCATGCAAGTCTCTACACCATGGTTATCACCATGCAAGTCTATACACCATGGTTATCACCATGCAAGTCTATACAACATGGTTATCACTATGTAAGTCTCCACACCATGGTTATCATCATGCAAGTCTCCAAATCATGGTCAACACCATATAAGTCTCCACACCATGGTTATCATCATGAAAGTCTCTACACCATGGTTAACACCATGAAAGTCTCTACACCATGGTTAGCAACATGAAAGTCTCCACACCATGGGAAAACAGCATTTTACACATTGTTTGTTTCAAATAGTTATAAGCCAATTTAAACTGATTTCACCAATGTAGTATAAGGAGCAACCCCTATAAAATTTATGTGTTGTGATAATTATAGTTTAGAAATCATTAATTGTTACGTACTAATGATTTCATGTTATAAATTATCGCCAAACGTACATGTTTCATAATGTCCCTCTAGGTCCTCATGTTTTGTATGCCACTGATATCCATCAACGATTTAAGGCGACTTTAGGATTTTGAGTTAGTTACAAATAACAAAGTAAACGGTTTTCAATTGAAATTGCAGCTGACTAACTTGGATGATTATTTGTAGTCGCGTAATCATTTTTGATCAAGCTACAGATAAGAAATCATCTCTAAAAAATAAATCTTAATTTTAAACTGAAACGCTGAAGGAGAAATTATTTGGTTTATTTCTCAGAATCGTGATCTGCATTGATCTTATTTATTTTGGAAAGATACGAATTTTTAGGTTAAATTTTTAAATTTTAGGCTAAGGACAATCAACACTTATTGCTACATAAACTAAATTATATCATAAAAAATTGCAGAACTTTCAAACAACTAACTTCTGAACTTCAAACATGGATGTTTAGAAGTTTTATGAAGTACATTAAATTTACTTGTTATGTCTTAGTTTATTTTATAGATTAAAACCGATTTTAAAGTAATTTGTTTTTTAATTTTCATTTTGACCTAGATTCTTTTTATTGCATTTGTTGTTAACATTTCCCAGGAGACAATTTATAGAGTCAAAATATCCCCAAATGAATTATTGTGTCTTGATTTTTTCCATGGAACTCATAGCTATGTTGAGTTTGCAAGATGTCTTTGTTTGTCGTAGTATGTTTCATCCTTTTTGTCCATTACCTGAAGCAGATTATGAAATTGAAAATTCCAATCAATATTCAACAAATAACCAATCAATATTCAACAAATAAGTAACAAATACGAATTTTTAAATTATTGCTTTTGCCAGTTGTCAGTGAGCCAATGACCAAGAATTTATGAATCGTACTTCAAATGGTCCAATTCTCTTCATGTATTCTCAAACGAGAGGCATCTCCGATGAAGATGCTTAAAGTTTGATTATAGTTTATGCTTCTTCTAACTTCACGAGATGTTAGATGTGTTGTCTGAGCTAAAAGTTTATTTAGTGAAAAAGATTACTGGAATAACATGAATGAGTTTAATTCGAAAGATTGTAGCGTTCCTTTTCAAGCAGGTATCCGTTTAGATAGATTTAATATTTGACATTTTCGTAGTATTTAAAAGTTTTCCTTTTATAATCTAAACATGATAATTGGTAATATGATTATGATTTGTACTATTTCATTAACAAAAATAAAAGTGCTCATTTCTAGCAAAAAGTTAGTAGCGTAAATAGGAAAAATTGTTGCCATATATATTTAAATATCCAAAGTCCTGAGAAATCACACGTTTGCAGTAACGATAATCAAAATAAGATTTATAATGATAATATTTATAAGTTTTCACTAAAAAGACTTTCTCCATTGTGCTCTTTTATCGTTTATTGTACAAGTTATCATTCATCACTAGGGCAAGCATATGGTGCAAAGGCGCGCTGTCATTTTTTTTTGTTGGAGGAGTGGGGGGGTCGCAGAAATCAATATCGGTAACGAATTTTGAATAGGGGACAGAAAATTTTACTAGACTTTTCATCAAGTTATAGGTGATTGGGAAAATGTGAAAACTATAAAAGTTATACATCGTGGATCATTTTTGTAAAATTCTCCTTTATCAGTTGAGAAATATTTTACTGAAATTGAATTGCAATGGACATATCAACGTAACAGATGGAAGCACATGCCGCAAGATTAATATCGAACGCTTGCTTTTCAACATAATTGGTGTATAATTTGTTAGGAGCACAATACTCATAAAGTATGCCTAAACATGTTTGCTCTAAAGAAATTTGTCGTGTATTTTAAATGTTTAATGATTATTGGTGTATCACCGAATCGCTAAATTGGCTTCATTATCGTTGGGAAATGTTCTGAAGACAAAAGGTTAGTAGATATTAAGATATGATAATTTATGATTAGATTTCCAGTTTAGATGAAACATTAATGCTGTAGCATTGAAATTCATGATGGTTAAATTGCTATAAGCTCTATATTCTGTTTCTGCATCTTAAGTTTTTGCTTGAAGCTACGAAGGCAACATCGACATGGATTTTTTGTAAACAATGAAAGAATGTAAGGGTGCAGTCGTTAAAGAGAATCATTCACCTCGAAGACATTATTTTGGCTTGTTTCTTATAAGGACAGAACATTTTTATGGTCAAACTTAAGATTGAAGCCTAGGCAATTGTAATTCTAATTTAGTTGTTATCAGCAGATCCGTGCTACTTTTTTGTTTTATTATTTAGATATTTGTATTCGTAGTTTTTTGACGGAATAAACAGTTTTAGAAAGTTTATGAAAAAAAACCCCGTTTCTATCTAAAATTTAGAAAATGTATTTTGGTACTCCTATTCATACACAAGATTTAGAAATAGATAAAGATTTAGTAAGCGAAATATAAAAAAAGCTTTAAGCTGACTGGTTAATTTTCTTCGTTGTAGAAAGACAGGGCGTACGACCTATAAAATATTGATCAGAACATCAGTTTTTTGTTGTTTTTTCTACTATATAATAGATGATACTGTATGCATAAACAAACATGATCTACAGCAAAAAATATTCGTGATGAAGATGAGATTCATCACCAAAAATGTTTACTACCCAAATTCTTATTCATTTCCAAAAACAATTTCCTAATCCACTTTTTTGTGTGCTGTAAAACCAATAAATTCTAAAAACAAGGCTTAATTTCTGCGCTCGTAAGAGAGATACAAGGAGATGTGTATGGATTGACGTATATAATTTCTGCGTTTGCGGTTTGCATTTAAAGTTTTTATCCATCAACAAATAAAAAACAGATAAACCAAATATAAACCAAATGCTTCGATTGTTAAGATATGCTCTCATATTCTTTCCGTAATTAGAAAATCATTAATTCAAGTGTAAGTAGTTAGATGACTAATGTTAAGAGATACTTATAATGTTATCAAGACAATATTTTTTATAGTTCCTAGTAGTTTTCCGTTGACGTCAATAAACCATATTTGCTAGCAGTACCCAAAATAATCTTACGTAAATTTTGTATAAATAGAAGTAGTTAAATCATTGTAAAATAGAAGACGTTGAACATTAGATGTGATCGTATAGTTATCTGTAACATTTGTTGGTGTAAGTCAAATTATATTAAAGAAGGTACATGGCTACATCACAAAACCTAACATCGATATTTTGATATTTACGATAATAATAGTTGTATGTTTTCAGTGTTCTATCATCGAATTTGTGCAGCTATGATTTTCCATACAATTGCACTTTTAAGGATAAAAAATGATGCGTTTTGTTGTCATCTTGTGGTTGATGCTGGCCGTGACTCTTAAATGTGCCGTTAAATGGGGATGGAACAAAAAATTTGAATTTTGTGAAGATAAATGGAATGTGTTTGTTCAAGAAAAAAATAAATCGGAAGAAAGGTGCGGAAATTTGCCTTTAAATAATGGTTGCATCGAAGAGAAAAATTATCTTTTGGAACGATTCTGGATGTTCAGTGAAATTTGACCACTTGAAGGTAATCTATATATTTTACATTTGCCTTTACATACGTATTTTCATATAAAAGTTTACTGTTGGAGAAGATTTAATTTGCAAAAACCTAAGGTAGAAAAAGGTATACTTGTATTTTTTTACATATCTATTGCGTATGAAAAACTGCAGACCTACGTACATTCGTAACACTGCTGTATCAGAAACATGGATTTCCTCACTAAAGAGTCAAGTTTAGCAAGATCAAATGATTAAGTCGTTGTCTTTTTAGTCTAAAAAATAGAAATTAAACTGTTTTTCAGTTTTATTCCGTGGCTACGTTCATCGTTAATGGATGTAGTTTGTCATGGTCTGTTTCTTATGCAGATCAAACGACTTTGTTATACATCACTCTCCTGCTACATATGGTAATACGACCATGCATGTCTATTTTTATTTATTAAATAAAATTTTTCAGGTAAATGTTGGTGTGCAAAAATGAATGGAAAATATATAGTGAAAACTTCACTTGTCCTCAAAATACATAAAGAAGGAGAGGAAAAGCCGAACATTAGTTCTCCACAGTCGTTCTTAATAGGACAGCACAAAATTCCGTACAAGCACTTTCTGTATGGTGGAAAAACTTCAACATGCTATGTTCATATTAACGTTATATGTAAGTATAACCATGTTTAGAAATTGGTATGAACATATAGATCATATATATAGAATAAGTTGTTTGAGGATACAACTCGCTTTCGTCAATTATGCACTCATATTACCAGACATAGACATCGTTTTGACTTCAATATAAAGTTGAATTATGTCATGTATGTCAAAACGTTGATCTAGCTTAAAAATAAACTCATCAATTTAAGTTGAACTAGGAATGCGAGTACAAAATTTCAATGTAAGAAGTCGAAGTTCATTCGTGAAAATCATAGTAAAAATGTAGCTTTAGTTCAATTATAGTTGAAATTATCGTTTTGTTACAAACAAATTTTATCAGCTCAAAAATTGTGATCATTTCGCATTTGTTATATTTTTCAAGCAAACATTACAACTAAAGCAAACATTGGCGTGGTATCCTTAAAGTTAACGCAGCAATTCTCGGTTATTTCTTACTAAAGTGAAGCTAGATGAACATGATTGCGCTCAGCTACTTTAGTCTCATATTCTGTTTTGTTGCTTTGTCCTCAGCTTCGTCTTGAAATCCGTGAATAAATGAAATGCTATAGTCTTTCCACCACTGTATTACTGATTTGTTATGCCGTTAAGAGCATGTGTTACTAATAGAGATGTTTTAAATTTCAAATTTATATTGAATATTTTTGAAATTCGGGCAGTGCTGAATATATAAATATTCACCCCCAATTAACGTTCTAGTTTCGGCTCTGGGCTAGGGTACTGCCTTGATAAAAACCTGTTTATATTAATATGCCGTCTGCTTTGGAAGTGCCTAGTGCATCACCACATGCATAATATGTGTATTGACCACATCCGGATCGGATGCAACTGCACAGTATCCACCTATTTGTTTATGCAAAACACGCATGATCAATTTTGACATACGTTCAGCAACTATTATTATATTATGCTATCATTACTAAACAATTTCAGTTGCAACTTTGTGTTGTATGTTTGGTATTTTTGAGACAGGTTATGAACTCGATTTTGGCCTTTTTAAATTTCATTGGCCTTTGAAAAACAAATTTGCTATTTAAATTTGGTCTCTTGTCAAGTCGTGAGTGTTGCTTGATAAAAAAGCTTTTTTCGTTTTAATTCAACTGCTAATAGACTTCAAAAAACATATATTTACCATTTATACCGTAAAAATGGAGTTGTAAAAACAGAAGAACTAGCAAGAACGACATATGTTTTCATCGCTTATAGTTTAATGAAAACATATAAAGAATACGGAAGAACGACATATGTTTTCATCGCTTATAGTTTAACGAAAACATATAAAGAATACGGAGGCTATAAAAAACACATAATTATTATGTAACAGCTCGCGAAAAAAATATTTACTAACTCTTTAAATTGATAAAATTTCTTGATTTTAAGACAAAAGAAAAAAAAACCAAGAAAACACTTACACTCGAGATTGGAAAAAATCCGAAACTCGAAAACAGATGGCAAAAGTTTATTTGGGTCCTTCGTGTTTACAAAGCGATACATGCGGGACCAAAATTTGCTACACCCACCCCTAACCCCCAACTCTGCGTCCTCCTAATTCTTCAGCAATGCAACCTCTAGTATTATCTATAATCTGTATGGTTCATAAACGTCTGTGTCATAAACATTCAGTTTTAGTCAGTGATGATCATTTTGTAAAACTTTGCTAAACCCTCTTAGCTAAACCCACATTTTGCTAAACCTAAGTGGGTTTTTCTTATTAATAATGAGTTGATTCATGTTACCAATTTTTTCAGTGCCACCATCCATCAGCAGAGGAAATAGTGAATATTTTACAGCACGACACAACACTGAAGGCGAGATTAAATGTATGATAAGATGGTCTAATCCAAGACCAAACATAACTTGGGATCAACAGATCGTTAACAACAACAATGAACCTGTCTTGAATAACTGGACCCCTTCACAGTATAAGTCTTCGTTTAAAAAAGGAAAAAACAAAGGACAATATGAAAGTGTTTTAAAGATACCCACGACTGCTAAACAAGCTTCAATGTTGTTCAGATGTTTTGCTCAAAACATTCATGGAAATGACAGTAGAATGTTTAGGTTTCTGCGATTTGGTAAGATTTTCTTTTTGTTTACATGAAAAATATTGTTTATTATTATTACATTGATTGATGGTGAAACGTTTCGTTTCTTTGCTTTAGGAGATGATCCCTTTAATGTTTTTCCTTCTGGGGATGTAATTTTAAATGAAAACGAGGACTTTATGGTAATTTGCAGAGTAGATGTTTCGATTCGTGATAATATTGCGTTTTACAAAGAAAATCCTCGTCGTGAAGTGATAAATAATGAAAGAACAAACATCACCATAAGTAGAAATCCTCAATATCGTAATGTTACAATGAAAATACGAAATATCAACATCAATGATTCTGGAACTTACAGATGTAGTGAAAAAAATGCTCTCAGTAATGAACGTGCTGTTGTAACATTGAATGTACGAGGTTAGTTGCTTTGAAATTTTTATCACCAAAAGCATTAAAAAAAAGTTTGTAAAAAATATTGTGAATTCTCGCTGTTTAACACAAGGAACATACTTTTATCTTAGCATGAACTATGTAAACGTGTGAAATTTTGATATTATTTTTCTTTGACTTTGAAAGGTTATTCAGTAACCACTTATGTATCTCTTTAGCATAGGTTTTCTTTGATTGCCATATAAATACAGTATGACAGTTGACCTTTTAAAACGTCTTCAAAACGAAAGTAAAACTTAATAATTTTTGTAAAACATTGAGTCGAAATTTTAACGAACAATTATCCTAAACGAATATGTATAAATTATACTTTGTGGTTAAAAACGTTCGCAATAAGTACGACTAGCTCTTCCTTACTTTGGTTTGATAGAAAATGTCGATGTGTTTGGCTACCTACAGTAATTGTTTGTTTGCGAATCACATCCATACTGTTTGCAATTCAAACAAATATTTCGTTTTACTATTCTACAGGAATATATCCTCCTGTAATTTATCAGATGAAAGATTCTACAGTGAATAAGGATAAAGATAAAGACGCAGAGTTGATTTGTAATGTGTCAGGTAATCCTCGACCCACAGTAACATGGTCAAGAAATGGTGAAGAAATTGGTCGTGTTATAATCACAAATTGTAAAACCCAAGTTCCTAACTATTACTTGAAGAATGATGGAACAACTCTTATTATTTGTGGCGTTGATATTTCACATTCGGGAAACTACACATGCTTTGCAATAAACCAGTTAGGAAACGTCACAGCAACTGTTTATCTTAATGTTACTGGTAGGTTGACAATGTTTACACTGTTAGATTTTCTAAATGATAAAGTTTTATTGTGTTGCAATGAAAGTATATACGTCCTTCAACAAAATAATTTAAGGTTCATATGAAAATGTTGTAAGAACAGTTGTGCAATTTTTATTTAGGTAAACTAAAGATCGACGAACCATCAACTTTAATAGATGAAAGTCTTCTTGCCAATGAAAGGGAAAGGTTTAGTTGTGTAGCAAGCGGTAATCCTACACCTTGGGTACAATGGATTTCTATCGATAGTGATGTGAAGCTCACAGCTATAGCAAAGAAGGAAATAATTATGACAGTTGAAAAAATGAATAAATCTTACATCGGAAATTATTCTTGTAAGGCATGGAACTCGTTTGGTATTACAGAGAAGCGTTTGTTGTCACTAAGACTTCGACCTCAAGGTTGGTTGGAGATTTTGTTTTATGATTTAGCAGGATTTGCAGATTTTCATTTAGGGATGTTTTATATTGACTTTTGCACTTATGAGTATTTTTCTTTAGGCGGCGAAGTTGTGTATTAGAATATGAATTTTACAATTAGCACCTTTGTCTCAAATTTAGTAATTCCAGCTGGATTAAAATCATTGATTTAGAATGCGTTTTTCAAATTCCTAGACAGAACATGGGACATGCACATACCTAAATATTTTTAACTTCTGTTTTTTGTGTAGATCCTACACCGACGATCCAAAACGACGATGGTACATCACCAGGAACCATTGCAGGGATAGTTATTGGTGTTTCCATAGTCATCATATTAATTATCATCATTGTTCTCTATAGAAAACAAAAACAAAAATTATCATTCTACAAACATCAGTATTTTCTACGTACTGGAAATTATTCAGTGAGTTGCAAATAGTTATTATTTTAGCTATGTAGTCTCGTTACACGAAACTTTTAACTCTTGCAAAAAATCAACTGCAATACAATTACTTCAATAACATATGGTTTCCAATCGCTCAATAAAAAATTCCTGAAGATTTAGCTTTCATCTTATTTCTTTGGTTTAGTCTAAACTGTGTCTAAAACTGCAACGTATTTTTCTTTTTCAGATTGACCCCAGTATAACGCTTAATGAGCAAAGTATGAATTTACCGTACGATTCTGATTGGGAATTTCCTTTTGAAAGACTCGTTATGGGTGATCGTCTTGGTGCTGGAGCCTTTGGAGAAGTTTACAAAGCTGAAGCAATGGGAATTTTAGCTTTAAATCCACGCGATAAAAGCAGCATTGCTGGTAAGAGAAGATCGAAAATACGTCGTACTTTAAGGGCAAGTCAAAGACCTAAAAAGAAAGACCATTTACAGCCTAATTCAACCAATGCCATTGTTGCTGTAAAAACTGTTAAAGGTGAGAAATTCTATTGAGAAAATTATGTGTTATTTTACAAACATTGAAATTTTGAGTTTTTGTTGTTCTCTTTTGAAAAAAACTTTGTTGTTTCTGTAGCTCATGCAACAGAAAGCGAAATACGTGATTTAGCAGAGGAACTGAAACTAATGATTCACATTGGTGAAAATAAAAATATCGTTAATTTACTCGGCGCTTGTACGAAGGGACGGCAACTTTATGTAATCTTAGAATTTTGTCCTCATGGAAACTTGCTGACATTTTTAAGATCCAAAAGATCTTTTTATGAAAGTACCTGGGAAAAGAAAATTTATGATCCAGAGAAAGAGTTTACTTTAATTGATATTGTTGGTGCTGCTTTTCAAATTGCCAAAGGAATGGAGTTTCTTGCTTCACGAAAGGTAAAAATTATCATGTAAACATTTCATAAAATACATTTATTTAACCGATCTTACATGAAGTTTATGAATTTAAAAACAATTTCTAATCCTATAATAACTATTCATAAGTAACTAACGCTCATTGCTTTCACAATAGTTTGTATTAAAAACTAGAACGTTGATAGAAGATTTATAATCTTTAATTATTTTCAGTTAATACATCGTGATCTTGCTGCCCGTAACATTCTTGTTGCTGAAGAATACGTCATGAAAATATCAGATTTTGGTCTGGCACGAGATATATATAAAAGCGATGTTTATGTAAAGACATCCAGTGGTATGTTACCTGTAAAATGGATGGCTGTAGAATCTTTATTTGATCGCGTATATACTCATCAAAGTGATGTGTAAGTTATAATTATGTTATTTTGACATGCAAGTTTTCTCAACTTTATTCATAGAATGTTTTTTATTCCATTTATTCCTAACGTATGTTAATTGACACATTTTGTTTACTAACTTCAGTTGGTCGTTCGGTGTTTTACTGTGGGAAATGATGACTCTTGGAGGTACGCCTTATCCTGATCTACCACCCGAACAATTGTTGGATTTTTTAAACCAAGAAAAACGTATGCCACAACCCAATAAATGTCCGTTGGAAATCTATACAATCATGAGAGATTGTTGGCAGGAACAACCACAAAATAGACCAACATTTTCCAATTTGGTAGAGCATTTTGGAAGAATATTGGAACGACATATGGAAAAGGTATGGTTCTAACTTCAATTGAATTGAAATTTATTTCACCATCATTCTCCTCTCTGCAAGATGTAGTGCTTTAAACATATATAGAGGACATTGTTATAAATGTTGTACATATATAAAGGACATTGTTATACATGTTGTACATATATAAAGGACATTGTTATACATGTTGTACATTTATAGAGGACATTGTTATACATGTTGTACATATACGTATTTATATTTGTTGTATGTATGATTAGACTCTATTGACTTCCCAGTAAATTATTTGTGTCTAAATATACATGCTAAAACAGTTGAAGATGGAAATTGAAAAATGTAGTTCTTTTATGTCGACATAATCTGCGCTATTTAATATTACTTAAGTATACGTTACAATAATTGAAGATACTTCCCCTTACCCTGAATTCATTTGATTCTTGTGCTCAAGTGAACCTGCATATGTTTGCAATTCTTGATTGTATTCTCTAGTGATCATTTACCCTACTGTCTTTATTACACAATCCCTGTTTTCAATGTTATTTCATCATTTTTAGACAAATCCATATTTACACATTGAAGCAAGTGCTGAGGAGATTGAGGCGGCAAGGGAGAAAGATGAATTATTGAAAAAAAAATCTGATTATTACTTACAACCATTGCTCATTTCCAATAAATTACATGGGTTAGTACTCTCTTTATATACAGTTCTCTTACTATTTACAACGTAATTATGTTTTTATTGAAGAATATTTACTCTATAGTTAACTTTAACAATATATTATATTCATTTTTAGCTATGACTCCAATGCACCATTACCCACCCCTCCCACAGATGCATACACGGCACCTACAGTTCCTTTACCTGAAGTTGCTGTTGAACCATCTACACAGAAATTAAAAGATGCTGGTTCTTACGAAAGGCTAGCAGACGATACCTCTCCACGAAAAGGAGCATCTTATAAGAATGAAGACGCAATAAGATTAGAAAATATGACAGCGACAAATCACAACGACACTAAAGATGTTCAACAGCCTGAGAAGATAGAGTCCATTGTTTGAAGCATATTGTTTACATTATTTTGTGAATTGGAAACGAAGATACGTAGGAACTGCCAATTGAAGAATTTTAAGAATTGCAAAATATCACCTTCTTATAATTTGTTGAAAATCAACAATTTGGTAAACTTTCTGAAATCATTAATACCACAGGTGAAAGAAAGCTAAGTTATTTGGACGGACTAACCCATGTAAATCTCAAACTTCCATGGTTGACACAATGCAAGTCTATACATCATGATTAACACCATGTAAATTTCTACACCATGGTTGGCACAATGTAAATTTCTACACCATGGTTGGCACAATGCAAGTTTCGTCTACACCATGGTTGGCGCAATGCAAGTTTCTACACCATGGTTTTTCACAATGCAAGTTTCTACACCATGGTCAACACCATGTAAGTCTCCACACCATGGTTAACAACTTGAAAGTCTCTACACCATGGGAAAACAGCATTTTACACATTGTTTGTTTCAAATAGTTATAAGCCAATTTAAACTGATTTCACCAATATAGTATAAGGAGCAACCCCTATAAAATTTATGTGTTGTGATAATTATAGTTTAGAAATCATTAATTGTTACGTACTAATGATTTCATGTTATAAATTATCGCCAAACGTACATGTTTCATAATGTCTCTCTAGGTCCTCATGTTTTGTATGCCACTGATATCCATCAACGATTTAAGGCGACTTTAGGATTTTGAGTTAGTTACAAATAACAAAGTAAACGGTTTTCAATTGAAATTTCAGCTGACTAACTTGGATGATTTTTTGTAGTCGCGTAGTCATGTTTGATCAAGCTACAGATAAGAAATCATCTCAAAAAAATAAATCGTAATTTTAAACTGAAACGCTGAAGGAGAAATTTTTTGGTTTATTTCTCAGAATCGTGATTTGCATTGATCTTATATATTTTTCAAAGATAGGAATTTTTTAGGTTAAATTTTTAAATTTTAGGCAAAGGACAATCAACACTTATTGCAATATAAACTAAATTATATCATAAAAAATTGCACTACTTTCAAACAACTAACTTCTGAACTTCAAACATGGATGTTTAGAAGTTTTATGAAGTACATTAAATTTACTTGTTATGTCTTAGTTTATTTTATAGATTAAAACCGATTTTAAAGTAATTTGTTTTTTAATTTTCATTTTGACCTAGATTCTTTATATTGCATTTGTTGTTAACATTTCCCAGGAGACAATTTATAGACTCAAAATATCACCAAATAAATTATTGTGTCTTGATTTTTTGCATGGAACTCCTGGCTATGTTGAGTTTGCAAGATGTCTTTGTTTGTCGTTGTATGTTTCATCCTTTTGTCCATTACCTGAAACAGACAATGAAATTGAAAATTCCATTCAATAATCAGCAAATAACCTACAGATTTTTAAATTATTGCTTTTGCTATTGTCAGTGAGCCATTGACCAAGAATTTATGAAATGTATTTCAAACGGTCCAATTCTCTTCATGTATTCTTAGAAGAGAGGCATCTCCGATGAAGATGCTTAAAGTTTGATTTGAGTTTATGCTTCTTCTAACTTAACGAGATAGTAGATGAGTTGTCTGAGCTAAGAGTTTATTTAGTGAAAAGATTACTGGAATAACATGAATGAGTTTTAAATCCAAAGATTGTAGCGTTCCTTTTTAAGCAGGTATCCGTTTGGATAGATTTAATATTTTACATTTTCGTAGTATTTAAAAGTTTTCCTTTTATAATATAAACATGATAATTGGTAATATGATTATGATTTGTACTATTTCATTAGAAATAAAAGTGCTCATTTCTAGCAAAAAGTAAGTAGCGTAAAATAGGAAAAATTGTTGCCATATATATTTAAATATCCAAAGTCCCAAGAAGTCACACGTTTGCAGTAACGACAGTCAAAATAAGATTTATAATGATAATATTTATATGTTTTCACTAAAAAGACTTTCTCCATTGTGCTCTTTTATCGTTTATTGTACAAGTTATCATTCATCACTAGGGCAAGCATATGGTAAAATGGCGCGCTGTCATTTTTTTGTTGGAGGAGGGCGGGGGGGTCGCAGAAACGAATATCGGTAACGAATTTTGAATAGAGGACAGAAAATTTTTCTATACTTGTAACATTTCATCAAGTTATAGGTGATTGAGAAAATGTGAAAACTAAAAAAGTTATGGATCATTTTTATAAAATTCTCCTTTATTAGTTGAGAAATATTTTACTAAAATTGAATTGCAATGGACATATCAACGCTTCAGATTGAAGCACATGCTGCAATTCTTTATATTGCATTTGTTGTTAACATTTCCGAGGACACAATTTATAGACTCAAAATATCACCAAATGAATTATTGTGTCTTGATTTTTTCCTAGGAACTCATAGCTATGTTGAGTTTGCAAGATGTCTTTGTTTGTCGTAGTATGTTTCATCCTTTGTGTCCATTACTTGAAGCAGATAATGAAATTAAAAATTCCAATCAATATTCAGCAAATAACCTCCGAATTTAAATTATTGCTTTTGCCAGTTGTCAGTGAGCCCATGACCAAGAATTTATGAATTGTATTTCAAACGGTCCAATTCTCTTCATGTACTCTGAAAAAAGAGGCATCTCCGATGAAGTTGCTTTAAGTTTGATTTGAGTTTATGCTTCTTCTAACTTAACGAGATAGTAGATGAGTTGTCTGAGCTAAGAGTTTATTTAGTGAAAAGATTACTGGAATAACATGAATGAGTTTTAATTCGAAAGATTGTAGCGTTCCTTTTTCAACAGGTATCCGTTTGGATAGATTTAATATTTGACATTTTCGTAGTATTTAAAAGTTTTCCTTTTATAATATAAACATGATAATTGGTAATATGACTATGATTTGTATTATTTCATTAACAGAAATAAAAGTGCTCATTTCTAGCAAAAAGTAAGTAGCGTAAAATAGGAAAAATTGTTGCCATATATATTTAAATATCCAAAGTCCCAAGAAGTCACACGTTTGCAGTAACGACAGTCAAAATAAGATTTATAATGATAATATTTATATGTTTTCACTAAAAAGACTTTCTCCATTGTGTTCTTTTATCGTTTATTGTATAAGTTATCATTCATCACTAGGGCAAGCATATGGTGCAATGGCGCGCTGTCAATTTTTTTTGTTGGAGGAGGGCGGGGGGGTCGCAGAAACCAATATCACTAACGAATTTTGAATAGAGGACAGAAAATTTTTCTATACTTGTAACATTTCATCAAGTTATAGGAGATTGGGAAAATGTGAAAACTATAAAAGTTATACATCATGGATCATTTTTGTAAAATTCTCCTTTATTAGTTGAGAAATATTTTACAAAATTGAATTGCAATGGACATATCAACGGAACAGATGGAAGCACATGCTGCAAGATTAATATTGAACGCTTACTTTTCAACATTATTGGTGTATAATTTCGTAGGAGCACAATACTCATAAAGTATGCCTAAACATGTTTGCTCTAAAGAAATTTGTCGTGTATTTTAAATGTTTAATGATTATTAGTGTATCACCGAATCGTTAAATTTGCTTCATTATCGTTGGGAAATTGTCTGAAGACAAAAGGTAAGTTGATATTAAGATATTATAATTTATGATTAGATTTCCAGTTTAGATGAAACATTAATGCTGTAGCATTGAAATTCATGATGGTTAAATTGCTATAAGCTCTATATTCTGTTTCTGCATCTTAAGTTTTTGCTTGAAGGTACGAAATAAATTTGAAAACTATAAAAGTTGCACATCGTGGATCATTTTTGTAAAATTCTCCTTTATTTGTTGAGAAATATTTTACTAAAATTGAATTACAGTGGACATATCAACGGAACAGATGGAAGCACATGCTGCAAGATTAATATTGAACGCTTGCTTTTCACAACATTATTGGTGTATAATTTCGTAGGAGCACAATACTCATAAAGTATGCCTAAACATGTTTGCTCTAAAGAAATTTGTCGTGTATTTTAAATGTTTAATGATTATTAGTGTATCACCGAATCGTTAAATTGGCTTCATTATCGTTGGGAATTTGTCTGAAGACAAAAGGTAAGTAGATATTAAGATATTATAATTTATGATTAGATTTCCAGTTTAGATGAAACATTAATGCTGTAGCATTGAAATTCATGATGGTTAAATTGCTATGAGCTCTATATTCTGTTTCTGCATCTTAAACTTTTGCTTGAAGCTACGAAGGCAACATCGACATGGATTTTTTGTAAATAATGAAAGAATGTAAATCTAAGGGTGCAGTCGTTTAAAGAGAATCATTCACCTCGAAGACATTATTTGGGCTTGTTTCTTATAAGGACAGAACATTTTTATGATCAAACTTAAGATTGAAGCATAGGCAAATGTAATTCTAATTCAGTTGTTATCAGCTGATCTGTGCTACTTTTTTGTTTTTGTATTTAGATATTTGTATTCGTAATTTTTCGACGGAATAAACAGTTTTAAAAGTTTATGAAAAAAACTCCGTTTCTATTTAAAATTTAGAAAATATGTTTTGGTATTCCTATTCATACACAAGATTTAGAAATAGATAAAGATTTAGTAAGCAAAGAATAAAAAAGCTTTAAGCTGACTGGTTGATTTTCTTCATGTTGTCCCTCGTTAAAAGACACGGCGGACGACATATAAAAAAAATCAATAACAACATCAATTTTTTGATATTTTCCTTACTATATATTAGATGATACTGTATGCATAAACAAACATGATCTACAGCAAAAATATTCGTGATGAAGATGAGATTCATCACCAAAATGTTTACTACCCAAATTTCTTATTCATTTCCAAAACAATTTCCTAATCCACTTTTTTGTGTGCTGTAAAACCAATAAATTCTAAAAACAAGGCTTAATTTCCGCGCTTGTAAGAGAGATACAAGGAGATGTGTATGGATTGGCGTATATAATTTCTGCGTTTGCGGTTTGCATTTAACGTTTTTATCCATCAGCAAATAAAAAACAGATAAACCAAATATAGACCAAATGCTTCGATATTTCGATATTTACGATAATAATAGTTGTATGTTTTCAGTGTTCTATCATCGA